CATCGACGGCAGACTCCAGCGCTTGTAGGATAGGTATACCTGACTCTGTAGCCTGCTACTGTGTGTGTGTGTGTGTGTGCATGTGTGTGTGGGGACCAGCCCCAAGGTTTATGATTACAGTGTTTCAATCCGCCTAATAAACTAGAATTTTAAGGATCCCGAGTTGGACATTTGTAGCCAATAGTCTGAGTAGCACGTGTTACAGAGAGCTACAGCAATCAGGGGGAACAACAAAATCTCAGCAGTAGAGTGAAGTCCTGGCCACCTTGAAGTCAATGGCAGACCTCCCACGTACTTCAGTGGGGCCAGGGCCTCTCTTGTCTATTTCAAACCCTCCGTAATTTGGGAGTGGAGGTTGAACCTGTAAAGTTCAACTGTAGTTCCAGTGCTACAGTGCTGTCTTTTTTTATTGTCTTTTTTTCTTCAATGATTTTTTTTTAAAAGTACAAAACCAAGTGACCACAGGAAAACCATGCAACAAGCAGGGCAGATAAATGAATGCAACAATCAGGACTACCAACATCAAAACAAAGGAGTGTAGTAAAACAAGGGCAAAACCTTAGACTTTGGTAGAGTGACACTGATTTCCAACAGCTGAGGACATGACCCATATCTTCTGTTTTGTTAACATTTTAACACAGGGAAGGAGTTGACTGGAAAGTAGGGTTTCAGCCCCCCAGTGCATGGCTATAGGTTATATACTCACTAGTTTATGAGTTTATAGTGTGAGGTTGTACAGTCATTGTATTATTCCCATTTATGAATTGGAAAGTGAGGCACAGTGAAATTCAGGACACAAAAACACCTGGGCATCTAAGTCAGGTTTGACTTCCATATTAGGTATGTAAGGATATGTCTGTAGCACCCCTCCATATCGAGTTTTTATTAGTTTTGTTTTTGTGAGGTCCAGGGGTCATTTTCAGAGGAGACAGATTGGAAAATGGGTCTTATCAAGCTGTATAGATGAGCCAATAGACATTGTTCATCCCTTCCTCAATTGCTGCAGCCCTGCTCCTTCCTGAAAAGAAATTAGGAGGAGAAAATGTTATCCCAGTGAAGGCTCCTTCTACCTTTTCTCCTTATTTCATTTATATTTTCTTCAAATCACACATTTTTCCACAGAGTCTTTCGGATTATGGATGATGACAACAGCAGAACCCTCGATTTCAAAGAATTCATGAAAGGATTAAGTGATTATGCTGTCATGATGGACAAGGAAGAAGCACAAGAGCTTTTCAGGATGTTTGATAGAGATGGCAGTGGAACAATAGACTTTGATGAATTTCTCATAACATTAAGAGTAAGTTTATGATCATGGTGCTTTGTTATTACAGAGATGCAAAAAAAAAGAAAAGAAAAGAAAAAAGATCTGAACCTAGTTAGGTAATTTATCAGTACAGACCTGGCATTTCCTTCAGTAACAGTGGTATCTACAGCAATGTTAAGGTGACAACTTCCATTTGAAAAATTCCACTTTTATCTAAGTTACATGAGATTTAAGGGGGCTTTGCTACTTAGGCTACTTTCTTGGGGCTCAGAAAATTTGGGTTTTCTCCCAGCTCCAGCTTCTGTGGTCAAGTTATCTAATATTTTTGGGCTGCAGGCCTGCATCTCTAACATGCTGATAAGTCTTCCTTTGTCTGTCTTCTCTGATTATATTGTGTGTTCATCCATGTAGGGCTGTCTCTCATTACAGACCTCTGATCTATGGACTGCTACAACTTAAAAATAATTAAAAGAAAGATAATATTTTGCGTCTTTTTCAAGTGATATTTAAAATCATTAGAACAAAAGGATATTATAGGAATCATTTCACTTCTGTTTGCAATTTGTTGACTTTGCACTTGATATGAGTATGAGTACCCTCCATTAAATTGCTTTGGTGAGGCTGAATTGCACTTTCTCTTTCGTTCATTTGTCCAATGAGACCACTCTCACATTTGGCTGTGGTCAGAATACCCTATGTCCCAGGAAGAGCAGTAGTAAAGCTGCTTGAAGCTGATATTGGACAGGTAAGCAGCAGATCAGGATTAATTTATTACTGTTTTCTTCCAGCCTCCAATGTCCAAGGCCAGAAAAGAGGTCATCATGCAAGCATTTAGGAAGTTTGACAAAACAGGTGATGGTGTGGTAACCATTGAAGACTTACGAGGGGTTTATAATGCACAGCATCATCCCAAATACCAGAATGGAGAATGGACAGAAGACCAAGTTTTTAGGGCTTTCTTAGATAATTTTGATTCGCCCTATGACAAAGATGGGAAGGTAAGTGAAATAGCTTGTGTCACCCAAAAAGAACTCCACTTGACTCCTATCTGACATTGTTACATGTGAAAACAGTCATAAGCCATTGTCAGCATTGTGCTCTTACTTTTGTCCCGAGATCTTTAATGAAAATAGTCAACAAGACTGGTCCCCAAACGATTTCTTTAAGAACTCCACTGGTAATTTCCACGCTTTGGTTCTTTCCTGTTTTAGACCACGATGGGGATTTTGGTTACCACCTGTGCCAGTTACTGGCCTCAACTGTGTTTTCCACTTGAGAAGCCTTTTCAACACTCTTCTAATGCTGATGGTTATAGAAAAGTCAGTTCCAGAACCTAGTTCTTTTGTTTAGAAGTTCTTGGGCTAACCCACTAGACCACAGGTCCTGAGCAACAAACTTGACCTCTCTGCACTAGAATCTGATCTCAGCCACAATGTTGGTATAAAGCTCTGAAGCCTGACCTCAAGTTTAAAAACATCCTGTTATTTGAAACAGGGACACGGTTCCTGAGTAAGTACAGAGGACCTAGCCTGGTGTTTTTAACATCAGGTTTCAGATCAACAAGATTCATATAACTGTGTGACAAGGATTGCTGACTCCAGCCAAAATTCTTCTTCCTAAGTGCCTTAATGCTGAGTTTTGCCAAAAAAGCATCTTTGCCCCATGGTCTTGCTGAATTCTCTGAGATAGCCAGGCTTAGCAGTATGGGTTATTTGCTTATAATCAGTAGAACAGACTGTAAGGTCTGGTTTTCCCATTCAGCAAATATTTTAGGTGTTTGTCAACTAAAATGTTTGGAACAATGGGAATTACGGGGTCACATACCTTGATATATGAAGTGAGAGGCAGGGAGTTCTTAGGGTGATGCCTTTTATTGTACCAGCTTCAAATGCAAGACATTCTTTGTCCATTCAGATAATTCTTCAAAGAATGTCTTGCATTTGAAAGCTTGTCTAACTTTTTTTCAGCTACATAGTTGATCCAATAAAACATAACATCCTAAGAAATTCTTGCCTTCCACATATTTTCTGGACCATCACTGCTACAAAATTACTCTGACACATTATATAGGATAGCTTTATTCAGAGTATTCTATAAATAAGCCAAGTATTAAAGCTTCACGAAAAGTATGTACGATTCATGTGAATGAGGGAATGGAAATATATTTCTTCATGCAATCAATGCCATGGCAGTACAAAGAGCAGGAAGTTTAGGCTAATTGTTTTTATAAAAGGATTCAGTCCTGCAGTGCATATCAAAATAAGAAATGCTCCCCTGGGTTTAGAAGCCCGTTTTGTTTGTTTCTGCTCTGAAGAATGGTACTTCTTGCTGGATAAATTGAAATAAAGCTGCAACCTCCTAATTGCACTAAGAGCCTCTTCCATTGTATTCACGACAGTGCAAAGAATGCCTTGTTTGAAGACCAGATGAATATCACTGAACAAGTTACGTAGCAATATTAATGTCCTTGAAGGATCAGTGTTTTACTCATTCTGGTTATTCTAACTTTACAGGTTTCTCAAGCAGGATGAGATTAATAGTAAATCTCTTTAACTAGGTTTACCTATCGTCTTGCCTCATGGTCTTGCTGAATAACTTCTGTACGCAGGTCAAATTTCTGACCAGTGGAGAAGCCCCAGGAGGCTGTGGAGTGCCCTTTAACTAGGTTTACCTAGTTAAAGAAATCAGAGATTAAGATCTCTGATTTCAAGGACCTCTCTATAGTAAGACATTTTACAAATGAAGAGGTTAATTTCTGCAACATACACCTCCTTCGTTTTCCCTCGTGTATTAGCTACTTAAATGGAAATGACTTAAAACGTAGCTATGCACAGAAGTTGCTTTTTGCACCATTTAAAATGCTTCAGTGCCATGACAGCAGAGGTGCACAGCTTTACAGCACGTTAACAATGGATACAGTGCTTTAAATTAACCCTTGTTAAACGAGGTATTACATTTGAAGCACTGTATTTTATAGCACTTTAGCAACCTACAGCACTTTAAATAACTTCTGTACGCAGGCCAAATTTCTGACCAGTGGAGAAGTCCCAGGAGGCTGTGGAGTGCCCCTTGCCTCCTAGCCTGGAAAGTGCAGGGAGACACATAGGCCCCCACCACCAAACACTACACTTCTGTCATGTTTAAGAGCACTTGTGATACACCTACAATGTTTACAACATATGGTCTACATCCTACATCCAGGACCAGAACTGCCACCTCTCTGCTAGGCCCCCATCGGGCCCCAAGGGAGGCACACCTGAGCCCAGGGTAAGTGAGGATCTAGTTAGGGAGCTGCTGGAGGGGCTGGACGTTTTTAAGTCAGCCGGTCCGGATGATCTCCACCCTAGAGTTCTAAAGGAACTGGCCGGGGTCATTGCGAGTCCCCTGGCGCAGCTTTATGAGCACTCGTGGTGCTCTGGAGAGGTGCCGGAGGACTGGAAGAGGGCCAACGTGGTTCCCATCTTCAAAAAGGGGAGGAAGGAGGACCCAGGAAACTATAGGCCAGTCAGTCTTACCTCAATCCTGGGCAAGCTGTTCGAGAAAATTATTCTGGCACACATCCAGGAGGGGCCAGCAGGGAAATGCATGCTCAGGGGCAACCAGCACGGGTTCATCAGCGGCAGGTCATGTCAGACCAACCTGGTGGCCTTCTACGATCAGGTCACTAAATCATTGGATGC